GGGAAGAAATTAAAAAAAGTCGGTTAGGACTTTTTATTACAAAAACTAATTATGATCCAAAATAGGTTCCAATGTTTATTTTTAAAAATCAATAGGCAAATTTAATCAAATATTAAATTCTATTTTAATTCCTTTTATGCCATCCTAATTGGAAATTGCTTTTGCCTTTATTTAATAGTTATAAGTAGCACATTTTACATGATTAAGATTTTTTGGCCATGAGCTTGAAGTTCTTTTAAGAAACTGAAATCCCTCAACATTTTAAATTTAAAAGTTTGCATATATATATTTCAACTATACTCCTCCTCCGACAACTGCTCCAAATTCTATTTTTGGGCTGTGCATCCTTTAGTTTGCCTTGCAGTTTGCCCCTGACTGATTATTGAACTAACCAAGCCAGCCTTCACCCGTTCACCCACTGAAAGTGAGCCCAAATAAAACCTTTCGGCCTTGTTTTTCCGTACGTGCCAGTGAACAATAACATGCAATGTGGGTATATGATGCCAGGAAATGTGATCTAATAATAATGTTATTACTTTTCTGTGGCTCTGACTTGTTAAAGTGTGAGATTTATTCTATGGATTAGCATTGCGCTTTAATATTCATTGTATATTTCGCACGGTAATCACATTCAGGGGGCACCACCCACGAAATCTACCTGCATCCGCATCTGTATCTTTTGCTAAGCAAACACTAATTTCGAGATTGTGATTGAGATTGAGATTGGCTAAGACTGCGTCACAATGCGTCATATTTGGGCATTATCTGGATCTTTATCTGAATTTCTCTCTGCAGTCACAAAAGGCTTATCGGTTGCTGCTACCGGAGTTTAATGCGGCACGAGGAGGCACACATCACATCAAATCTCGCAACCCAATTCACCCAGCTTAATCACAGTATTAAGTCACCAGAAATTGACTCATATTAGTCCGCGTTTAGCGAAGACTGAGGTGTTCAATTAGCCAGCTCGAAAGTTTGTATTTCGGCGTGTGGCGTCGAAAGTTGTTAATCACTTTAGCACAATTTATGCACAGTTTTACATCTATATGTAGATACATCGACCCTCTGTCCAATTTACCAGTGACTCATGGGCAATATGCGCATTTATTTGCGGTTCATTTGAATTCAGTTTTCCTCATTTAATTGGGTTACCTATTCCCAGTCTAATTTCGTACTTTTATCTAGCAAATATTTGCTCGAATTTAGCACACTAAGTAAATAAAAGCAAGCCAGCTAAAACATTGGTTTAGCACGCCTTTCAAATTTATAATTCGCCAGGCGGATAAACATGATGTTCAGCGCCTTTGTTTTTTGCGAAATGAATTTCAAGCAGTCGGCCAAGGCGACTTTACAGCAGCTTCTGGTCGTGACAGACAGTGGCACAGAGTCAGCTGTCATTATATGCTTATATGGCCTGGAATTGCGTGACGCCACATAATAATCGATCGAACTGCCCGCACCCCCAAGCAACCCAATCAAAGTGGGCTACACATAATCGCCTAGTCAATAGTTATATGCGTAGTACTTGAAAAGTCAGAGGCCAGAGAGTAAACAAAATGAAAGGAATCTTAAATAGAACATGCGATGCGTGTAGCCCATTTTGCAATCGATCTTAGGTGGAACTGTATACTCGGGAAGTGTAGAAATTCTGAGAACTTCAAGACACTGCAAATATTTACTGCGCACTTGGGTAGTATGAACGTGTATTTGTAAAAAAAAAGGTCTCTATTACAAAAGCTTATAGCAGAAAAATTTACAATGTAAATATATTATTTAATACATTTTTATCAAACAGATAGCTATTACTATTATTTAGTTTTAAAAAATACTTGTAGTTGGCTTTCTTAATAACAAGGTAATATATAAGCACTATGAACTATTTGGGACTAACCTACGACTTGTTTCCCTTCCAGATACGAACGCCTTTTGCGTCGCGCCCAAGTCGAGGACTTAACGGAGGTCTCTGGAATCGGTTGTCTTTACCAGAGCGGCGTGGACCGCCTGGGTCGGCCTGTGATTGTGTTCTGCGGCAAGTGGTTCCCTGCCCAAAACATTGACCTTGAGAAGGTAATATTTAAATGCGATTTTTCCTATTGAAAAATACTAATTGTTCTTGCTCGGCAGGCCTTGCTATATCTTATTAAGCTACTGGATCCCATCGTTAAAGGAGACTACGTCATCTCGTACTTCCACACGCTGACATCCACAAACAATTATCCATCGCTGCACTGGCTGCGTGAGGTCTACAGTGTGTTGCCTTACAAGTGAGTTTCTCAGTTATAGACCTCCCAAAAGGGATATTTCACCAAGTCGCATCTTTGTTCTTATAGATACAAGAAGAACCTGAAGGCCTTCTACATAGTGCACCCGACTTTCTGGACTAAGATGATGACCTGGTGGTTCACCACGTTCATGGCGCCAGCCATTAAGGCCAAAGTGCATTCTCTGCCTGGTGTGGAGCACCTGTACTCGGCCATTACAAAGGATCAGCTGGAAATTCCCGCCTACATTACCGAGTACGACATGGCGGTAAGTCGAGTAAAACCATGGACTACTTCTTACATTTATTTATTCTATTTTTAATCCCTTTTCAGACCAATGGGCTGCATTACTTCAATCCTGTGCCGACTGCCTCGTAGATGGCAGCCATCGTTGCTGTCTAGGACAGCGGGCAGCCACCATAGCATATACATACATACATACTTATATATAGACGATACACACACACAATTGTGAAGTTTTTATAGATTTTATAGAACGTATTTTGTTTTCTTGATAAGTAATATTTGTTTACTTGCGCATAACTTTCGACGTTGTCGTTTATCGATTGACTTGCCGCAAGTTTTGTTGAACATTGTGTAGCATACTTTTATGGGAGTGGCCGAGTCGCCCGATCCCTCGAAACCAATTAGCTAAAAGATAAATCGGCAGCCCCAAAACCAGATAATTGTGTAAAACATTCTTATGAAGTGCATGGAAATTAGTTAATTAGTTGGCATCGGCAGAACAAAACCTTGTTAATTCGCTATAAATAGAAGTTGACCTATTGGTAGGAGACGGATAGGGTGGATGGAGGACTCGTTAACGAGATAAGATACCAAAAGAAACCAAAAATCGTTAGCAATGCTGAACAAAATGAAATTTGAAATGATTAGAGAACCTGCATATACGGATATACAAGATTATTCTAAATATTAAATTGATAAATTGTACTTGATTATGGAGGGGAAAATATATATGAATAAGTATACATATTGTTAGTTATCTTTGCAATTACAAATTGTATTATTAATGTATTAATACTAGAGCTACAGCGTATGCAGTTTGATCCCCCGATATATACACACACATACATACGTACTATAATTCAATTGTATTTATACATAACTATATATACTAAATATACACAACTAATAAATTAAAACCAAAACCAAAACCAAACACGGAGGAGAAGTCGACTCGCAGAAGAGCAGATGTACGAGACGTGCAGCGAAGAGCCTGCAGAACCTTTTGTAGATACTTACTAGAGCTCACCGTAAGGCCCTCCCAGCAATCGAAACACCAATAAAGAACCTAACGAATAACAAGTAATGAATACTGAATGTTAAATGTTCAACTTTGATATGAATATGTTTAGGCGCAGGAGATTTCCAACTCGAGACACGTCCCCTTTATCTTCCATGCACCGTTTGCGCTCAAAAAAGATTAAAATAAAAAAACCCAGAATCAAAGCCAATAGCACGCCACTGCTATACGTATATATTTGTAATCGTGAGATATATAGGTATTGTAATTAGTCGAATCAATTATGGCACTCGCTGGCAGTAATCAGAAATCACAAAAAGATCAGAGCCAGATTCAAACCACTGCGCACCACCAATTGAAGAGCCAAAAGACAGCCACAGCCAACACCAGCAGTTGATTTAGCAACTACGCAATTACATGCAAAGTAAAATGCACTCAGGGATTGATTTAAAACTAAAACCAAAAATCCAAAACAAAACAAAAAGAATAGAAAACCTAAAGCCTAATGCCTAATACCAAAAACGAAAAAGAAAAAACCAAAGGAAATTTAGATAAACGACAAATGCGCTTTCCTCGAACCACAATCGGCAGCCTGGCTAGTACCTTAAACGAGAAACCAAGTAGAGTTATAGCGAAACACCAAAGTGAGATAGTTTTTGGACATGTTCTTATAAGTACCTATGTATGTCGTAGGCAGTTCATCCGACAATTAAGCCAATTACATATTTTTTATTGCCTCACCAGCAAAATTTAGGAAAGTTAATCAGAGTGCTATGGGGAACCTATATTTCCACCTCTTACAGTAATCAGAATCACGGCAATTACTCAACTAGTCTACTCAAAAGTTATGCTTGTATGAGAACCACCTTACAGGAGTACAACAATCGGGATATGCATACGATTATGTGGTGTACCCCCTATGGCTTACTCAACTGTTATAGAAAATTTAAAAAAGTAATATTACAAAACAGAATCCCAAATCGAGAATCCAAGTTATGCCAAGTGTTCCTTTCTAAAAAGTATATATTTAGACGAATACTTTTCGTAATATTTGAATATTTGTAGGTAAATCTTAAAGCCAACTACAAGTAACTAGTAATCTCATTGAATCTTAATATTTCCCCGAATTTTCCCTTCTAATATTGCTATTGCTTTAGCGTTAAAAATTCAAACGAAACAAAACTAAAAGAGAGCTAATAAAAATTTGATGAAAACGGATATGTTGCTAAAATAATGAAAATGTACCTTTGAATAGAATTCTGCGATCGATTCTTTTCTAGCGTAGCACAAATTCCTTATAGTTGGTAAAGCAGAAACAAAAACGAGATGAAGAATGATCGTCGTGGCACAAAATGCGAAATTAAGTTAAGTTTTTCCGAAAATTCGAGAATCCAGCTCCTTGTTCTTTTTGTATATATAAGTACATAAAAGGCAACAAATTTAATTGGTAACTAATAAAAGGAAAAAACAAAACATACGCTTTCTTTAAAAATAATCGAACAACTTTGTCCTGTGTTGCGTTTAAAGAAGATTCCTAAATTCTATTGAAAATCACATAGTCTGAGGTTTTTTTCACAGTTATTGAATAACCAGCCTGTTCTGCTTGGAGTTCGGAATGTACTCCTCTTTGTACTGCTCGAACATCTTCTCTAGTGCTTCAATCACCTGTGCATGGATTTTATCCACATAGTCGGCATCGGGAGTATCGCTTTTTACCACATCGATGGGGGATCCAACTGAAATTATAGGATCACTGATTGGAGACGAAGTAGGGGATATATTAAAAGTATTTTGAACTCACCAACTTGTACAATACGTTTGCGATAAGGCAATATGCCATAGTTGTAGTTGAAAATACCCCGACCCTTGGGAAGGAGCGGAGAAATACCTGTGACTTTCTTTACCCCATTTTGAAAGCGTCGGAGCAGGGAGTTCGGAGGATTGTCCACCTGATCGAATATATCCACCTCGCCAAAGGAAAACGAGGGCACAATCGACGAACTACAATCATTACTTGAGATTCTACATTATGTTCCATTACTTACCCGGTTCGAATGGCCATTTTGACGAAACCCTTACGATTTTTTAAGGTCAAAATATACTTTCCAGGATGCGAGTCCATGGCCTCCTGGGCTCCACCTACCAGTACAGCCACCGCATTCGATGTAAAACCATCTCGATTATCCCTATGCTTGGGATCATTCGATTTGCTTAGTAAATAAACCAGTGACTCCTTGGAAACCGACACCATGCCCCACCACCGCAATATATCACGTAAAAGAGGGGTCTTGAAATGATGATCCAGGGTTCCAATCTTTGGTCGAACTTGTGGGAAGAGCTCTAGCCAGTTTTCAATGTCCAAGCTCATGTTGATACAAGTTCCAGTCCTTGTAAAGGAATAAAGATTTGATAACATACAATCAGTTTATGGTCTAATAGTTCGCTTACCCAAGTATTCCGTGTGGAAAACTAGCTACAATATAATTTTTGTTTGCCGGCAGTTCAGCTGTCTTTACAAGCTCAACGGGAAAATAGTTCCGATATCTCCGAATAGTGCGGTAAAATAGCCAGCTAGAGAAAATTGATAGTGTTATTATCTCTGCAGTTGCAGTTTCACCCATTTCCATCACTTACCCATTGCCCTCCATAATACCGTAGTTTTTCTTGTAATCCAAATATATTTTTACAAAATAGATTAAAAGTAGACTGCGCAGGAACAGTCCACCGTAGTACTAAAAGAAAGAGCAAAAAGGAAGATCTCAAATTATTAATTTAATTTAGCTTACGTCTAAGAATTACATTTAACGGCATTTCAAACGTTACGCTTTAAACAAACTTAAAATTTCACTTTGTGGAACTTTTGGCCATTCCTTTTGTCTTTTTAATACTAATTGCAATTCCAAAATTTCTTTAAAAATTACCAGGAGCAAAGCAACTGTGAAGCAGGAAGATATGGGTAGCGTGAAGAAAGTATAGGTGAAGAACGCCGTGACAAGGGTCTGGAGACGCCGGTCCAGCGGAACTCGTAGAGGAATCCATTCGATTTTCATGTTGAAATCAACCGATCTTCTGCCCAAAGACGCGACTATTTCGACGAGTTTCCAGCGACTGAGCGATCGCTCAGAAGCGACAAACAATTTCCAGGGTGTAACAGCTGTACTTATCCTTATCAACGCAACGACCCGCCTCTTCGGGGCGACCCATAAGAGTCGTTAACAGTTTGAGAACCTCACTCGAGTGATAAGTCATTGATAATTTCTTAAGCCCAGACACTTGATATTACAAACTAAGTGAGTATGGTGTAAGATTACGTCACTGTGTGCAGATGCTCCGAAAATTAGTCCATTTCATACAGATTTATATGCTCAAATTAAAGTCAAATAAGCCTGATAAGGCTCAATTAACAGTTTTTTTGAGTGGTTGTAAATTCTGATTACGATCTTAACAGGTTGCTTATAATCGGAGAATGCTGAATCATATCTTGGGTGCCGGTACTATTCCCATGTTTACAGTAGTACGCCGGCCACAGACATTACTATCGTGAACCATTCTTGACCTTTACCCGTAGAACTTTATGTTTAAGTCACACGTTTTCGCGGTGCTTCGCAACAGTCAAAATACTCATTGTTTTGTGCGTACCCCAACAATGAGTTCTTCGATAAGGGGTCTGGTTTGATTTTGTCGCAGTTCTACTAGAGATCTGTGTCGCCCTTATCAGGCGAGTGTCTCATTCACACAACTGCTGATTCATGCAGGCGCCTGTTACATTGAACTGGAAGTAATATGGTAAGTATTATGAGCACGCACTTTTCTTTATTTGATGTAAACTAAAGAATTGGGATTGGAGCTGCATATTGAATTTCACAAGAACTAGTCATGTTCCCATATTGAAAGCATTATCATAATTACGAATTTAGTTTTGCTTTATTAAAAACGTTTTGATATGCCAAAACTGCAGTTGGCATAGTAAACAATCAAAATAATAAAACCATTAAACAATAATCTTTTGTATTAACAATTCCTAAACATTTTTTAATTACTGTAAAACCAATTTGGCACTCGTAGAATTCTGTAAATATTTGTCTTTGTGCTGTTCAAATAGTTTTTCCAGGGCCTCAATGACCTGTCCATGCACTTTGTCCACATACTCTGGGTCGGGTTGATCGCTCTTTACAACATCAATGGGGGAACCAACTAGGAAATGCAAATAAATTATATACTTAGTAACTCATTTTCTGTAGAGAAAATGAAAGCTTTTACTTACCAACTTGGACAATGCGTCGTCGAAACGGCAGAAAGCCAAAGGTGTAGTTGAAGAAACCTCGACCCACTGGGATCAAAGGGGAAACACCGGTGAGTTTCTTAACTACATTCTGAACCCGACGGAGCAGGGAATCTGGGGGATTGGCCACCTGATCGAAAATGTCCACTTCGCCAAAGGAAAACGAAGGCACAATCGATGAACTAGAATCAGAGAGATGTTAGTAAGAATTTTTTTTTAATTTTACAACCCGGTACTCACCCCGTTCGAATTGCCATTTTAACAAAACCCTTCCTGTTCTTTAAGGTTAAAATATATTGTCCAGGATGCGAGTCCATTGCCTCCTGGGCACCACCAACCAGTATAGCCACCGCATTCGAGGTAAATCCATCGCGATTGTCCTTGTGTTTAGGATCATTTGATTTGCTGAGCATTCGGATTAGGGCCTCTTTGGATACGGAGACTAAGCCCCAGCATCGAAGGACTTCTCGCATGAAAGGCACATGGAAATGCTGATCCAGAGTGCCTAGTTTTGGTCGCACTTGGGGGAATAACTCCAGCCACTTGGAGATTTCCACACCCATGTTAATACCTATGCCCGTTCTACAATTCCAACCAGTGTCTATTTATATTTAAACGATTAGATTGGCTATCTGTCAATGTACTTACCCCAAAATTCCATGGGGAAAGCTGGCCAAGATGTAGTTCTTATTAGCCGGCAGGTCGGCGGTTTTGACCAACTCCACGGGAAAGTAATCGCGATAGCGGCGATGTAAGAGGTTAGTACGGGTTATCATCCAGCTAAGAAATGATGTAAGTAACGATATCATCGTCATGAAACTTTAATTTGATTTTTTACTTACCCATTGCCATCCACCACAGATTGGGTTTTCTTGTGATGCACATAGACATAAGCCAAGTAAATGACCATTAAGCTTCGCAGAAGGAGACCTCCATAGATCTGTAAGAAATATAGGTAGGTATATTTATCCTATATATATTTTAACGATTAGTTCTCCTACCAGTGAACCAGCTACCAAAAGAAAGGAAACAGATAAGAGGATCAACAGCATCGAGGTAAAGAAGGCCGTGACCAGTATCTGCAATCGACGTTCCAGAGGAACTCGGAGGGGCGCCCATTCGATTTTCATGTTTACTTCGCTCCAATAATGTCCGAACAAATCTACCAGCTGCTCTTTCGGCGGTTCTCCCACGACTGAACGATATGAAATCCAGCGACGGTCAATTTGCCCTGTATTAAACTTATACTTATCCTTATCGGTTTTAGGCTTGATGGGGTGCGCCCGCATTACCGGCTAATCGTAAACCAACTAAACAGTAGTTCTTTGTTTGGGGCTGATGGGAATGTGCGATTGGAGTGATAAAGATGATAAAGGTTGGCTTACAATCGGCGTCTGGGTGCAAAGGTATGCGGCGATTCCAAAATTATTACCCCTTTTGACTTTAAGAGCAGTATGATTCAATTAACGCTTTATGCTCTCCGGCTTGTATTTCTTCTGACTAATCAAAAATTTAGTCGTGTGATAAGAAAGTTATTTCTATACCAAAAATAACTATAGGTGATTATCGGCCTAAATCTTATACGGGACTAACAAAAGTGTACTTCACTATAGCTATGATGAAATAATGGCGTTCTCCATACATATACTTACAAAAAGTCTAGACTCTAGAGATTACATCTGTAAAACGGGTTATTCAAGTGCTATTATAAGGCGTGGAACAAGGCACCCTAACCAAAGTTCCGTCATAATGAAATTAAAATATTTCCTTTCAATCCGATAATTATCTGATAAACAATTATAATTGTTTCCAATGCCAATAAATCATAATTATAAACTCTTGGGAATTAAAATTTGACCGCCAATACGGATTGATCGTTGATCAACACTACAGGTACCCTATCGATATATAGCCTAATCAGAGCTTTCAATTGCTGCTAAGCGATATAAACTTATTCAAAAATTTAATCACTAGCCACAGTTACAAAGAGCTTTCAATACAGATCCATTAAAATACCCCATAAGATGAGTTAATTGGATTGTATTATTTGCTTATAAAGCATAAGTTTGATCACAATTTCTAGATACCAGCTTTTTCGACTAGTGAATAATGAGCTTGGTCTTTTTGGAGTTGGGTATGTACAGATCCTTATACTGAGCGAACATTTTCTCCAGATCCTTGATGACCTGCTTATGAATCTTATCCACATATTCTGCATCGGGGTTGTCGCTCTTTACCACATCGATGGGAGCACCAACTGCAAGGATTTTAATATAATTTGGATAATTGGAAATAGGACACTTTTTCATGACTTTAGGACTCACCAACTTGAACGATGCGTCGGCGGTTAGGCAGAATGCCGAAGGAGTAGTTGAAGATGCCGCGACCCACTGGAATTAGCGGGGAAATCCCCGTGATCCTCTTAACAAAATCTTGGAAGCGGCGAACCGGAGAGTTTGGTGGGTTGGCCACCTGATCCAAAATGTCCACCTCGCCAAAGGAAAACGTGGGTACAATCGATGACCTTAAATAATGATGGAAAATATATGACTATTTCTCTTAGCTTTAACAGATTTTCACTTACCCCGTTCGAATGGCCATTTTGACGAAACCCTTGCGATTCTTCAGGGTCAATATGTATTGACCAGGATGCGAATCTAGGGCCTCCTGGGCACCGCCCACCAGAATCGCCACCGCATTGGAGGTGAAGCCATCCCGATTATCCTTGTGCTGGGGATCGTTCGATTTGGTTAGCAAGTACACTAAAGCGTCCTTGGAAACCGAAACCAAGCCCCAAGACCGCAAGAGACCACGCACAAGGGGCGTCAGGAAGTTCTGATCCAAGGTGGCCACCTTGGGCCTCACTTGAGGGAACAGTTCCAGCCACTTGGAGATGTCTAGACCCATGTTGATGGAAATGCCGGTCCTATCGGGGTTTTCAATATTTACATAAGTATGTATACAAATGTTTCGTCACTTGAGCAGCCATCGATAAGATTGGCTATCAGTCATCGCGCTTACCCCAGAATTCCATGGGGAAAGCTGGCCAAAATGTAGTTTTTATTCGGGGGTAGCTCTGCGGTCTTCACCAGCTGCACGGGATAGTAGTCCCGATAGTGCCGAAACAGCCAATTATCGCGGTTAATCTTCCAGCTAAAAGAGGTTATTTTAAAACCAATTAAAAATGTACTTTGATGGAAACACGATTGAAGCATACCCGTTGCCATCCATAATGGAGTGGGTTCTCCGGTGATTCGCAAAGACGTAGATTAAATAGATGATGGTCACTGTGCGCCAAATAAGACCACCGTAGATCTAGAATAGAATGCTTAGTATATGGATTAAAGAATGACTTATTTTACTCACCAGCAGGGCAGCAACCAGAATATAAGAGCCAAAGGAAAGTATCATGAAGGAAAGGATGAAGAAGGCCATGGCGAACGTCTGACGACGTCGCTCCATGGGAACTTCAATGGGAGCCCACTCGATTTTCATGTTGAACTGCTCTTGAATTCAAAAACCCTTCACGGACCGAACTATTTAAGTAGCGACTCTTGGCAAGGTCCTCCAGCGACTGAAAAGTGTCCAATGTTTAGTAACCAATTCTTATCCTTATCAGTATCCGCCGATGGCGCGAGTTCGTGGCTATCGGTAACAGTTGTTAAAAAATACCACCGATTTAATAGCTATTTGCTTGGGGTGTTTAAAAATTCGAGCAATCAAGATAGTGACCTGCTTTATATAGACGTCTGGCGATATAGTTCAATCATTGCCAACAACAGCCGGCTTTTTCAAAAATTTGCTTTGCAACGCTTACACTTTTGACCACATTTATTTATAACGATTGTACTGTTGATTACAACTAGTTGGCCAATTATAATCACGTTTAAATATCATTAGAAATAGAACGAAACTTGATATGTGATAGCCTTCATATCACTATGGACGGCAGTCCATGTAGTGACGAAGCGCACCAGGAGAGTGTGCGAAGGCGACTACTATTATATAGCCGCAAAATTGAAAATCTGCTGTGATAGTCCGATCGTAATGAGTAATACACCAATCGAAAGGTATTGCAAAAACTTAAAGGATTGCATACCAAGACTTTAAGAAAATCAATTGGCTTGGGAGAGAGCGGTGAAAGTGAAAATTGAAAATTTCGAAATTTGGAGCTGTTGGGGCCGGTGGGGATAAATGCCCCCTCGCAATGTTTTAGTTGTATTCCTCTTGAAAATACCCGTCGAATGAGGGATCATTTGTCAAAATCCGACTCTCCGTTCAAAAGTTATAGCCAAAATAAGATTTTCTTCTTCTTCCCAAAATGAAAATTTAATTCTGTTTGTCAGTTTGTCCACTTGTCCAAAACATGTTTTTTAAGTTCTGAAAATTTGATATGACGTTCATCACATCGATATAAAAACTTTTGTTCTACCACTTTTGGAAAACTCGCTAGTTTAGCGGGAAAACAGCTATAAATAGCTAAAATTCGGAAAGCCGTAACTTCTATACTACTAAAGCTACAGACTTGTGCTGCATCTCGTTTGAAAGGTATTTTGAAATGCTATAAACGCCTTCTATATGCAATTTGTGTAAATGTAATAGTTAAAAAAATATGAACAAAAGACAATTTTTTAAAACTTTTTTTTAGCTTTTTTATTTTTCTCAAAACGGCTCTAACGATTTTCTTTAAAACCTTAAACTGTATAGCCCTTAAGATTCCTTAAATTTTGGTATATAACACATTACTGTAAAAGTCACGTTTAATAGTTATTTTTATACGAAAATAGCCACTGTTGCCACTCGAACAATTAACGCCCCTGAGTATTGAATTTTGTGGGAGGGTATCCGAACTGTATTTTAGGGTCATGGAATCAGTAAATTTGCACTTAAGAGTTCCATATAGGAATCTTTTGTTCTACGACTTTTGGAAAAGCCGCTACTTTAGCGGGAAAAAGCTAAAAATGGCTAAATTTCGTTAGTTTTTAAGTTCTACACTATTAAAGGTACAGACATGTGCTATACCTCGTTTAAAAGGTATTTTGAAATACTTCAACGCCTTTTTAACTTAATTCGTTAAAATACAATTGTTTAAAAATTATGATTGACCAATTTAAATTTAAATGTTTACATTAGCACCTATGAGAGCAAAAGTAAACAAACAAAAACTTCTGATATCAAATAAAAACACCTCTAAACGAGGTAAAAACTAGTGACGATCGCACCTTCAACGTACAAAGTTCTGATATCAACTTTTGTGACGAAAATGATTTTAGATGCGACTAAATAAGTACGTTACCTAAAATTTATTCATTCGGCACGCTACAACAAAAACTTTCGTGTAGATATTAAATATTTGCTAAAGCGGGCCGAATGAATACATTTTAGGTAACGTACTTATTTAGTCGCATCTAAAATCATTTTTCGTCACAAAAGTTGATATCAGAACTTTTGTACGTTGAAGGTGCGATCGTCACTAGTTTTTTACCTCGTTTAGAGGTGTTTTTATTTGATTATATTGAGGGTTTGGTGATAAAAATATAAGCTTTCTTAGCCAAGAAATACTTTGGTTTCTGTGTATATGAATTTTTATTTTTTAAAAGAAAATCGATAAGCTTTAAAAATTCACATTTATTTCTATTATTTGTCATTTACTATTTCCCATAAAATGTAAACTATAATGACCTCTGAAGACGCTCCCATAGATTTGTATTATTACTAATGTTTGTAAAAGCGCACGCAGTGTAAATGTTTACACACGTAATGGATCGTTATCGCATTTTAAGAGCAGAACCGACGACGCGAGCGTCCAATATTTAACTAAACAAGCGAATGGGACTGAAAAGTCAGAGAGCAATGCACGAGATTCCCATATGAGTATTACGAGTACTCGAATGCGATGCAACAATTGAGTCACCGACGTAATTGCGGGTTCTATACGATATAAACTGAAACAGAGGCAGCTGAGGTCATGTGCATTTGCAAGTCTTTATCGAGGAATACCTGTTTAAGAGCTTGCTACTGATCTATTCTAATCGAAATGGAAGCAAGGAAAGCGGGTTTATGTAAAACCTACAATGTATGCGAAATTAGCAAAGTTTTTTTAAGCTTAAATTCAAATACTGGCGCCCCTTTCTGAAAGTTTTTAGGGATGGAATGTGTTTCAGCACTAGCCAACACTTTGTGCTTGGTTATCGGCTTGTTGCATTGAATGCACTTTTAGCGCCAAAAATATCGAAAACTTAAACGGCGAGTCAAGACTTTATGCCATATAGTTCCCAATAAATAAGAACTAATAATAATAAAAATGTTGTTCAATCAGATTACCAATACAAATTGTCAAAGGGAATGCCTACAAATTGCTCAATCCTCCTTGGGGCTACGATGACGAAGTACCGATTGGATTTTTGCATTTCAAATGACCCCTAGTCCAATCCGATACGATCCAATACAGTGCAATGAAGAAGTGGAAATCAAATCAAAACAAAATGCGCAAAATATATTCAGCGAGTCCACCGTTTTTCATCATTCCTTTTTCGTCGGTTTCCCCTGTCACATTTTGGGCCTCAGTTCGGCGAGATAATCCGTGAGCAGCGGTTTGGTTTTTATCTCCGAAAGTGGGATCCTAAAAATTAACTATTTTCAAGTCTAGTGGGCACTATTAAAATTACTGCAGTAGAAGTAAAGGAAGATCAAAGTGCATGGCAAAAGTGCATTAAACCCGAAAGAAGCTTTAAACAAATATATTTTTCATTCCAATACACGCACACAACGAAAAGCTAAAGAAGTTGATTTGGAAGCAAAACAAAGAAAAATGCTGATTTTCTATGCGAAATACGCATTTCTCTTTTGGTTTTTCGTGGGAAGCAATCAAGGTGAAGTGCTGATAATGGACCAAATCTTCCAAGATGAAAAGCTGCTCACTGTGACCGCGTGTACGCAGAACTGCCTGGAAAAGGGCCAGATGGTATGAGACTATATCTCCCTGAAAATTGCCATTTTTATTTTAATTAAATGGATAGAAATAATGCTTTGCTTTGGCCTTGAAAAACAAGAAATTCCTCAAGTTCTCTATAATCTCTTCAGGACTTTCGAAACTGCTTCAAGGACTGCAGGCATAATGGGACAGCTCCCGGAGCTCTACGCAAAGTGCAGGATAACTTCCAGATGAACATGCTGTGTCGCACAGAGTCCGAGATTGTTTTCCACATCGATTGGGTGCAGCACAGCAGGGGAAATGAGTCGGCCCCAAATGTCACTTACATAATCAAGGTGGATGTGGATGCCAGCAAGGAGGATATTCCAGAGACCAAACTTTACCTGGTATTATGTTTATCTTCACAATTATTTACTAGTGTTTATTTTAAATCCATTGATTTTGTGCCTCCAGTCTGATGATAACTTTCTGATCCTTCCGGGCCTGGAATCCAACTCGAGCTACAATGTCACCGCAATGGCGATGCACGGGGATGCCAGCTACTCGCTGATAGCCAAGGACCAGACCTTCGCCACCCTCATACGAGGCTACCAACCCAGCAAAATGGGAGAAGTGAATCTAATGCGATTTGTCCCCCAGTCGGGTGAACTGCATCACGTTGCTGCTGAGATCGAGTGGCAGCCATCGGCAGGTGAGTTCCCTCATCAGTAGAATGTACCCCCTAATCCTTCCTCAACTGAATTCCATTGCAGAACAAAACTGCTACTTTGACATGGTGTCCTATTCGACCAACAGCGTGAATATGGACGAGCCGCGGGTGGTGCAATTCCGGGATGTAAGTATACCATGGTACCCCTGTTAAGGTCAAGAGTACTCAACCTTTTCCTCCAGCGAAGAAGGCTATACAGGCACACGGTGGACAACCTGGAGTTCGACAAACACTATCGCGTGGGCGTGAGAACAGTCAACATAATGAACCGACTTGAGAGCGCTGTGCGATGGCTGCCGGTCGTGGCTCCAAGCTGCTTAGATTGGTATCCCTTCAACTACACCCTCTGCCGTAAGTTACTTGCTTTTTCAAATATTTAGCTAACATTATTTTATTTTTAAACTGATCGATAGCTCCTCATAAGCCGGAGAATCTGAGTGTGACGCAGGAGCAGTATTTGCCGAATACCTTGGCTCTGAACATTTCCTGGTCGCGCCCCAGTCACCTGCCGGATAACTACACCCTCCATATCTTCGATCTGTTTAAGGGAGGTAAGGATATAAACTTCACTCTGGACCAAAACAAGAGCCACTTCTTCGTGCCCAGGATCACGGTGCTGGGCTCCCATTTCGAAGTGCATTTGGTGGCGCAGTCGGCAGGCGGCAAGAATGTCTCCGGCTTGACTCTGGATAAGGTGCCGCGAGATGTCTGGCTGAGTGGTAAGTAAATGCTCTCCCAGCTAAGATATAAAAAATTGAAATTAATCTTAACTTATTGCAATGGTCCTCCAAAAACGTCCTTTTAACCGTTATTATGGCCGATTTCTCAATGTCACTTTAACTTTTGTCGTTCTGTTATATTAATTGATGAGAAACATGATCATAACTGATCATAACTAATACCAAGTTAATGTTTAACTGACCAAAAACTCTTAACTAAAGACAATGTTCTAGTTAACTTGATCTGACAACCTTTCTCTTTTGGATTTCTCGCTGAAGATTTTTTCTCTGTAAATATTCTTCGTTCGTAATATAAACTTAAATTAGAAAACGAATTTGTCTTCCCGAACAATTTAACTTAGCAAACTAGGATCTTATCATAACATTGAGAAATCGCACTTGATGATAACCCATTCCAACTTTCTTTTGTATTTCTCCTATCGAACAGAGGGCAACCTGGTTAAAGCTGATACTCTTTATTATCGTCCCCATTTTCTGCATTTTGATGCTGTGCTGCGTGACCTTCTGCAGACGGAATCGGTCGGATGTTCAGGCCTTGCAAATGGAGGCCAAGAATGCCAAGGCCAGTGACTTCCACATCTCGCTGATGGACAGCAGTGGCCTGTTGGTCAGCCTGTCGGCCAACGAGAGCCTGGATATAAAGGACGAACTGGAGGTGGAGCCCCATTCGGTGCTGCTCCAAGATGTCCTGGGCGAGGGAGCCTTCGGTTTGGTGCGTCGCGGAGTTTACAAGAAGCGCCAGGTGGCCGTCAAATTGTTGAAAGGTAGTACTAGAAGTACTAAAAGTTGAACTCAATTTATGGAGTATTTCTTTTTCTAAAGACGAACCGAATGACGAGGACGTGTATGCATTCAAGTGCGAGATCCAAATGCTCAAAGCCGTGGGCAAACACCCAAATATAGTCGGTATCGTAGGATACTCAACTCGTTTCAGCAATCAGATGATGTTGCTTATTGAATACTGCAGCCTTGGAAGCCTGCAGAATTTCCTACGGTATGTTGTTCCTCTTATAAGTTACTAAAAACTAATTGCCTCCTGTCGTAGGGAGGAGTGGAAGTTCCGGCAAGAGCAAAATGCCATTGGCCTGAAGAAGAACCTGGAGCAGAATGTGGACAACCGAAGGGGCCACCGTCGTAGTTCCATCCATGACCGCATAGAAGACATCAACAACTCGATGTTGTCCACCGTGGAGGAGGAGAGTGAAGCGGACCAGACACAAACCAGCAGTCGGGTGGAGACCTACACCCTCACTCGGATCACAAATGCAGCCGACAACAAGGGTTACGGACTGGAGGACATTGAAAACATCGGGGGTAGTGATATTCCGAGGGATCTGACTAAACAGAAGCTAGGACCAGAGCTCAGGAAAGAGCCTAGAAAGGAACTAAAAATCGAGGACAAGAAGCGAACCTTCGAGAACAAGGAATATTTTGATTGCCTCGACTCGTCAGATGCAAAACCGAGAATACCACTGAAATATGCAGATCTGCTGGACATTGCCCAACAAGTGGCGGTTGGAATGGTGTGATCATCTCACTGATTCTCCAAAATGTAGAACTTATAACATAATCTATTGATTTCAGGAATTCCTGGCCCAAAACAAAGTAGTGCACCGTGATCTGGCTGCCCGCAATGTTCTGATTTCCCTAGATCGCAGCATTAAGATTGCAGATTTTGGGTGGGTTATGTCTTGAATTTAGTGATGCCTTATAACATTCCCCATACCCTTTAAGGCTAAGTCGAGATGTGTATCATGAGAATGTGTACCGGAAGTCCGGAGGAAGTGGCAAACTGCCCATCAAGTGGCTGGCCCTGGAGTCCCTCACCCACCAGGTGTACACCAGCCAGAGCGACGTGTGAGGATTTGTTTGGTCCTTAATTCGAAGCGAACTCTTAGCTGATCTCCCACTTTTCCAGATGGTCGTTTGGAGTGCTGCTCTATGAGATCACCACGCTAGGCGGAATGCCGTACCCATCGGTGTCACCCAGTGATCTCCTCCAGCTTCTGCGCCACGGTCACCGGATGAAGCGACCCGAGGGATGCACAGAGGAAATGTAGGCGAAGAGATCATAAAGTTATTCAGAAGTGTTGAAAAATCTTCGTAACATTTGTAGGTTCTCTGTGATGGAAAGTTGCTGGAATTCAGTGCCATCACACAGACCCACATTTTCCGGCCTGAAGGAGAGACTAGGAGCCATGATATCGGCCACAAAGGATGTGCCAGAAAGGCTGAAGCAACTGCACGCTGCAACTGAATCAAAATTAAAGTCCTCTGACATTCTTCCAAGGTGAGCTGTCCTCATTTCAAAACTATTTTTTAACTAATCCAGTGGCCCAATTTCAGTAAGGTGGATCAACTGCCCTGCGAGGAGGAGCCATACTTAGAGCCCTTGAATTAGTCTCCATTAGTTTTAGAAGATGAATAATGAGTGCAATACCATATTGTTGGAGAACTTATTGTATCGTAGAATTCCAGTTCCGAATCAGACAACGCTGAAAGGCAGAAAACTCTAAATGGAAATAAAAAGTAAGATAGATTAAGAAAATACCGCTGACTTTACTTATTAAGTGGAAGGATTCTTAAATAGCTTTGCCATTTTTGTCATCGATTTTTGAAGAACTATTCATTGAGACCACAATTATTTGCCATTTCAACATGATTGTTCCCACCTGCGCCATAGATAGGGTCTGGTTGATATGGATTTTAGGACGTTCATTCGTCATCATCTATGAAAATTCCAAATTGAAAGTCGTTCCAAGCTGGCTTGTTCACAGTGTAATACTACTTCTGACCACCACAACCGATGTGCATCCACTGCTGCCGCCTGCGAAGGACACCATGTCCTCCGATTCCCTACAGCTGTCCGCACTGCCCGGTCCGCACCATCTCCAGCTGCTGTCCACTGGGCAGTCGTCCCTTTGCCGAGAATCCCTTCGTGAGGGGCCGGGATCGGGAGCCACCGCCCGATCCCTGTGTCAACCTGCCACCCCGCTGGCTGGAGGTCAACCGTCGGGTCATCTACGCCCTGGCAAATCATTTGGATCGATCGCCGGAAGCAGCTCATTATATTTTGCTACGCCTGCTGTATGCCAACTATGGAAAAGTGATGATGATATCCCGGAAACGCAGGAGCTTCAGAGTGCCTTTAACTGGATTTCCGGATCAGGACCTCTTCTCCACCAGCACCCTTTTCGATAATAACGGCTACCTCAGCGATCCCATGGCTCCGGAAACTCTAGGCAAGCTGCTCCACATGATGCAGGACTATATCTTTCGGTTAAGGGCGCTGAATCGGAAGTACAAGTGGTTCGGAAACGGTGAAGATCTTGGAGAAATTCTGCCCCTGTTGGGAGAACAAGATGAACTGGTAAGACTGTTGAGGGAACTCTTCGGGGACAGCGATGTGGTGTCCATTCCAAAACTTCTGCGATCCCTCAACGAACTGGAAATCAATAATTTATTCGGCAAGTGGAAGAAGAAAAGCGCACCTTGGCTCGTGAGAAGTATATCCGATCTCTATTCGGAGGTGACGGAACCCAAGAACCCAATAATGATATCATCCGCGGACATGGGATCACTTCAGAGTTCAGTTTTTAGAACTCCTACTAATATGAACTCAATCCCTACAACCAATTTGAGATCCAGTACAAAATCCATCCTATCAAATAATAGAAGGTCCATTCCAGCAACCAGTGTTGGGATAGATATACCAAGTCCCAAGCGCTATAAGCACGATTCAGTCCAAGGCAGGAGAAAACCCCATCAAACCGAAGACCGCTTATTTGCACACCGAGATGCCGACGCTCTACCATGAGCCCTTTGATGAAAGGAAGAGCTCCACCTGGCTGTCCCGCCACCCAGACTCAACTCGCTTGATGCCGGATGGCCGGATTGCCAAGGGCCGAGTGCGCCACTATAGAAATTCAGAGCAGCAGAGGAGATTGGGCAGCTTGCGAAGGAGGTTGTCTGTGCACAGCGAAAAGTCCTTCGGCGATGCCGAGTTTGGCGATATGTTCGGCCATATGCCAAGAAAATCGCGAGGGTCCACCAGGCTGAGCATTAAATCCTTGCCACCCGAGAAAAGGAAATCTTAACCATTGAATATGGCATCTTATCCAAATCCCATTTGTTGGAGCAGCTGTCGAATTTAATGGTTGAAAAATAAACCTAAAAAAAATAAATAAATAACTTCGTTTACCCTTCCACTTATTAACTTGACTCTTAAATTTACCTCTAGCCATTCATTTTCCGTACAATTTATCTGTGAATAATCACTCAAGCGTTAAAACTGCAACCTTAAAAGCACTGAGGTCATGCGCGCAATTAGTCAGCGATCGGACAAAGCAAACCATTCAGAAAATTAGATACGATAATGTGATAAACAAATAAACAAGTTCAAACTCTAATAAGTTATTGGGTTTCCCGTTTCCCTTTTATTTGCAGTTTCAGACTGCGAATATTGGCAAAGTGAGGAAACAAAAGTTATTGTCTAACAAAGTATAGTTGGGTCTTCGACATTTCCTCCCCAGAAAATCCGCGAAAGCTAACAACTTCGATTGGGTTGTACAGGGGTGTACTTATATGCACATATATACATATGGATTTAAGGTAAACATAAGTGTAGATCTTCAAGTGGGAGCAGCACCTTTCCCACTAGAATTATTTATCTTTGGACTGCATGCGGCACTCGAGGCAACTGATCACGGGATCGGTATATTTCCGTGCTAATTACGATTATAGCCCAGACCGAGTATGTTACGCGCCTGCAGAATAGAAGGCCATTAGTTGAATAAAAGTAGGATAAGTTCAGCAGTAGCTCACCGTTATGAACGCCGAATTAAAGGAACGCTGGAACGTGTGCGTCATGCCCTCAGTCTGGGATAGCATCATTTGCAGCTGCACAGCCTCGTCCATTCGGTTCTTGAGAAAGTCCCATGTCTGAGCGTGTCCTGGAGAGGTGTCTTGCAGGAAGTACAGCTCGGTCATCTTCATGATGGTCGCTAGACCAACGCGTCTCGTGTACCAACCGAACTGAAATACGAGTAAATACTATTAAGGAAAGGGTAGGGTCTTGCAAAAAAAAATCGATTTATTTTTTAATTTTTTTTCTTGTAGATTAACATCCTATGATTATACAAAAAAAGTTTAAAGTCAATCGGAAAACAAATTTAGATGTTATGCATAAGTGCATCTTTAAGTGCGTTTTTCTCGAAACCACGTTTTGAAAGTCCGTGTTCATCGGCATTTCTAAATGGCTCAACTGATCGTTTTAAAATTAGTCGAATCTTTTTCTGCATAAAAAAAACCGCCCCCTGAGAAGCTTTTTTATTTATTTTTTAACTTTAAATATTTTTTTATGCCGAAATTCAAATTTATTAGCTGAAAAACTCATTTTTGACTTTGGACCTTAAAAAAGAATTGTAAAAAATAAAAATTAAAAAAAGAGCTTCCCAGGGGGCGGGCTTTTTTAATTCTTAAGCGAAATGTAAAAACAAAATGGAAATCCGATCATTTTTAGCGGAGGAGTTGCAGCAATCGCTTTGCCACCGATATATTAGCCGATAGTATCGTCTATAAAAATTGGTGGATGTTACCTAAATGTCACTTAATAATATACAAAAGGTTTGAATTAAATCCATCCAACCAGTTTTTATAGAAAAAATCGAAAGTTAGTCGATTTTATGGTGTCAAAGACCCTACCCCCCCTTAAGCACAAATAATGATTTTCAAATACGCACATCCACAGATCGATCCCCGGAGTAGTAGCAGATGTCATCCACCAGGGTGAGCACTTGGGCCAGGGCTGTGGGCGCATGCTGGGGCTGGGCTATCAAGGCCATCGCCTGGGGCCACTGACTCTTGTAGGGGGTGACCATTTCCAGGCGCTGACGCACCGCTTGCACAAGAAAGTCCAGCGGATCCTCCACCGCCTGCTTTCCGCCATCTGTCTTCTGCTGCAGGCTCTCCACCAGTTGTGCGTTGCACTTTCCGTTAAAGTGGGAGACCAGGGCGAAGCCACCCTCGGGGAACATGCCGTGCACCACGCTGGGATAGCCACTCTCCTCGGCGCCCAGAACGATGGCCTGTCGGGTCCAGCCCTGTTGTGGCACGTGCTGCAGGGCGGCGTCCAGTATCTTGGCCCGAATGGCATCCACCTTGGCCTGCTTGGCCTCGTCCTGCGGCCCGCTTGACTCCGATCCTGTAGATCCTCCTGCCTCTTTTTGGCTTGTCTTTGCAGCCGCCTCATCAGCCGCATCCCTCTCCTTTTCGCGCTGCTCCTCGCGGGCCCGGAAGTCGTCTAGGTTGGTGGTCTTCTCATCCCTGGCATAGCTCCTTGCCAATAGGAAAGTCATTGGCCTTGGCTGCAATGGAGCCAAGCGGGAGCTTTGCGCACCTGCAATAAATTGACACCTTTGTAATAATAATTTTTTAATTATTTGAGTTCAATACCTAGCCCAAATAAAATATTTATCTTTTTAACATTTATAGGTGTACGATAAGCTCAGAGAAGCTGGGTCGGGTAAAATTACAATTTTGAACCAATTTTTAAAAAATTTTTTACGGAATCGTTTGTCAACCGTTTGTTCGTGTTTGTCCACCCTTTGCAATTTTGAAAATTTGGACTTTTTCAAAATTCCAAAGGGTAGACAAACGTGGACGAACGATTCCATGAAAAAAATTGGAAAATTTCTACTTTTAAGTTTTTCGAAATTTACTGAAAACGTAAAAGTGTTGTATTTTCTAAAGTTTTGTCTTTTTTAAAATTCCAAAGGGTGGAGAAACGTAAACAAACGGTAGACAAACGATTCCATAAAAAAAACCTTTTTTTTTATTTTTTAAAATTTTGTAAAAACGTAAAAGTGTTGTATTTTCTAAAGTTTTGCCTTTTTTAAATCCTTAAAGGTGGGCAATGGTAGGCAAACGGTAGACAAACGATTCCCAGCAAAAAAAAATTTTAAAAATTCAACCAATATTTTCGATACTGGAAGTGGACAAAAAAAACTAAAAGGTGGTTAAACGATTCCCATATTCAAAATTCAACATTTTTCTCTGAGCTTGTACGATATACCTTGCAAAATAACCTAGAGCACAGTTTCGACCTCTATTTACCCGGTTAAGGTGTTAAGTACGCATTCTAATGTGTAGATGCATCTAGAATTCAACAGCTAGAGTTCGCAGCTTATTAGCACCGCACAACTGGCTCAATTAGTCGGTTAATTATCGCCCCCAGCCAAGAACCCCCCAAACCACAAAGATCAGCTTAGGTTTCGATTTCGTTTTCGTTTCTGTTTACACACAAAGTTTACGCTATCATTTCGCTTTCATTATGGACAAACTACAAGCTAAGCATCCGCTGAAGCGGCGTTCCGTCGAAGGCGGGCAGACAGTTCCAGGACCTCGCTGGCGCGCAGATACAACGATTGCAGGTTTTCCAGACTGGTAATCGAGCTGGCCAGCACATCGAGCTTCTCCTGGCGTCCAATATCCGGCAAGCGGCTGTCCGCGTCGCCGCCGGCCATTCCGCTGTTGGTTATGTTCACGGCCAGCATGTTCAGCTGGCGCTGCATCAGCTCGTCGTCCGAGGCGCTCTGGCCCCTTTCCACGCGCTCCTTGTACGCCTTGTAGTGGGCCATCGAAAAGTTGAGCGCCTTGCCCAGGGGATCCAGCAATCTCCTCACAATATCCGGCAGAGCTTGCCAGAAGCCGGTCACATCCGTCTTGTCCCTCGCCGCAAAGTAACGCAGAATATTGAGGGCATGGCACAGGCGATCGGAGTGCAGGAGAAGATCGGACTTCACGTCATGGGGCAGCACGCACACGCACAGCAGCAACATCTCGCGGAACAGCTTTCCGCTGTAGACTTCTGGCAATGGTCCCGATTCCTTCAGCGCCTTATCCACCAGATCTTTGTACATTCCGCCCAGGTAGCCCATCAGACCGTCGTGCTGCAGCGTCTCCAGCAGATTCTTGAGGATGAGGTACTTTCCCTGGTCGTCGAAGCGCAGTATGTACTGCCGCAGTACGTGGAGTCCCAGCTGGCGAAGCGCCACTTGCGGCGAGTAGCCCACAATCTTGCAGAGGGCCTCGCAGAAGCGCTTGTGCACGTCCAGCTGGAGGGAACTGGCGGGCACTGGTTCAATAAGGGTGCCCAGAAGATGCTCCACCAGGCGGAGGCCGCAATACTGCAGTGGTGGCTCCGCCTGCCTGAGCAGCACTTCCGCCAGATAGGCAATCGTTTCGAAGAGGAACAGAGGTGCATATATCCTGGGCGCGTTGGCGGGCAGTTGGTTGCCCACGAAGAGCGAGTGATAGTACATGGCTACGGCGTGCAGCGGCAGCTTCTCCTCGATTAGGAACACATTGCGGCAGCTCATCTCGTAGACGCCCTTGGCGGCATCCAGTTTGCGCAGCCACCGGGCACGCTGCTCCACGAGGCTGAGCAGATAGAAGGGATCGCCCAGGCACTGGCTGGCATCCCGGCTCAGGCCATCCGTCACCTGCTGCACATAGGTGCGCGTGAGGTCCTCCTTGACGTGGCTCATCTCCAGCAGGGCCAGGGGGCGACCCAGCAGCTGGATGAAGAAGCAAGCGAAGACGTTGCGCCGGTTCAGACCGCAGTCCCTGAAGATTTGGCCGGCCGTTCGCACATCCTGCTGCACGATTTCCGCGCAGAGCGGCTGGCGAAAGAGGCCCACGGTGATGTAGTGGGCCAGCAGGTCCTCCACCTGCTCGTTCTGCTCGATGAGGCGCGCCTGGGCCTCGTCGTAGCCCTCGGAGAGGTACTGCGGCAGGGGCAGCTCGCGCAGCCGGGTGAAGACGCTCTGCAGGCTCCACTCCACGGCCTGCGGCTTGTCGCGTCCCTGGCGCTGCAGGACCACCTGGAGGGCCCGCAGGTGGGCGCCGAACACATTGATGCTGCTGCTCTCCTCCAGGCGCTCCATCAGCTCCAGCATGAGCTCCTGGACGGGGGCAAACTGGGCCAGGAGCTTGAGCAGCTCGTCGGAGCAGTCGAAGAGCCCCGGCTCCTGCGAGTGGACCTCGTCGGTGAGGTTCACCGAGCACACGTCGTGGTACAGATCCATGGCTATGTGGCCCAGCAGCCGGGTGTTCCGCGCCGCCTCCTGGGCGCTTTGGAACAGCGTTCGCACGCCGTCGTAGGCCTTCTCCAGCAGCAGCTGCTTGACGAGCTGCAGCAAGTTGGCCGCCTCCGCCAACTCCGTAGTGTCCACCTCCATCTCCTGCTCCTGCATTCTATTCAGCTCTCTGTTTGTATTTTCACTGGGATTTTGTAAATTCGTTGAAAAGTGTCGAGAATTCTAAGGCCGCCGGCATTCGGCAGTCAGCATTTTACACTTCCTCTCACTCACTCACTCTCGCCGCCTCTCTTTCGCACGCACGCACTACTCGATCGAACAGCTGTTCCTCGGGTTGCGGGCTCTCTTTCGTAATGAGCGCACGCGGCGAATTAGCGGTTAACAGGCGGAATGGGGGATTCACATTACTTACTGAGCGGCAGCAGGAGCTTCTGCAGGCGGACTAGCTTGTGTAAACAGCGCACGTTTGCCATTTTAGCGGCTTGAAATCGTTCCGTCAATTGAAATCGGTTTGTTTGGCATTCACCAGGAAGCCTCCTCGCACAGTGTTGGGAAGCGGCGCGAATTGTTTGCACTGTGGTATTTTTGGTATTTTCTTAAATGTACGGTGTAGGGTGTTTTAGTATTTTATTGCGCGTAATTAGTGTTGTCACCTCTAGCTAATATATAAATAGTAAAGGGTTTCATAAATATGATTCGCAATTTAAATCAAAATAAATACAGTTATTGTTTATTTAAGCGCCGTTAAGCGAGTAATTTCGTCTTTATTTAAGCAATGTCAGCATACTATTATTCGCTGTAAATCTTATTAAAGTGAAATAGAATAATTGCTCATTGAAATTTGGTTGCTCTCTTTGGTTACTTCTCTTAAATCTTTTGACCAATCTTTGACTTTGGCTAGAAAATAGCTAAGTCGGCACATACATGGCTGTTAACTGCGAATGCGGAATATTCCCACTGTTAACGCCACTTAAGCCACATTAAACCCGCCCCTTTAAAGATCTGGCCACACTGAGTCGAAACCGAAAATGAAACTGGCTGGTCGCGGATCGTGTGTTTATTAATTTTTAAGCAATATTCGCAGACTAACTTTGCCTCGCCGGAATTAGTTAGTCATAAATTAAAAGCGAGCCGGTCCGAACAGCACTTCTCTCAGAAATTGTTGTATTTGCCCACGAAAAGAAAAAAACACCCGATTTCTGGGGGAAAAGTGAAACGAAAAGCGAATATACACAAAAATGCTCGTGAATTCAGGGGAAAAGTGCTAAATTCACAAATAAAACAGCAAAAATAAAGCCAAGGTGTCGCAGGAAAAACCAACTGCTGTCTGTGGCGGCGTCTCAGTGAATTTTCCGTTTTTCGACCCCGCGACAAGGGTGGAAAAAGCGTGAAAACCCGAATCGAAAATCCTGCGTGTGTGTGCAAATAATGTGAAAAAATTGCCTGGAAAAGAAAAGAGTTTTGCCAAAAAAAGAGAATACAAAATCGGTCGAAACGAAAAAAGGCGAAATGTCCGATGGGCGATTTTTAGTGCGGGAGCAGCTCAAAAATCCAGTTTCGGGCTGTAAGGCGTGTCAGGATTGAAATCGAACCACCACCAACATAACCAGCAGCAGCAACAACAACCACAAAAACAACGAAAACAACAACAACAGCCGCTTTGAGCCAATTTCGTCGGCCCTTTTCCTGGTTATTCCTGTTTGACTTCATTTTCACTCAGCTTTCGCCGCAGAATTCGCATTTCGGAAGACAAAATGTCGACGCGCTCGCAATTAACCAAGGACCTAAACGGTGAGTAATGCTCGCTCTTTCCCCTTTCTCCCACTTTCTCTCTCTCGCCCCCTTTTCTCGCCCTGCCCCCACCCCCTCTTCCCAGCTCTTTGTTTTGAAAAACGCATGAACAAAAACAAATGCAAGATGCATCCCCTCCAAAACGTTGACGTTTTGTTTTCGCTCTTTACTTTTCTGTTTGGGCCGCCGGCTTCCGTTTTCTTTAATGCGACACCCCAAATACACAGACACACACACACCACCCCCACACAAACACTGCCACCCATCAACCCGCTGGGAAACTCCCACCCACTCACAGTTTTAGAAGCACTTCCTTTAAAAGGAGTATTTTTGACGTCTGATCTCCATATCCCCTGAGTTTCGATAAAGTTAAGCACTTCATTTAAAGCAAAACTAAGACTTTTTTACAACATAATTATAAAGCTATGAGCACTTACTCTTAAATATTTGAAAATAAAACAAGTTGTAAAAAAATTAACTTGCCAAAAGCAGACTAAAAAGAAAGTAAAACGTTTTCAGATCTTAATGAGGAAAATTAAGATAAGTAGAAAGTATAGATTTTGAGTTTAAAAGTTTATTACCCAAAAGAAGTGTACAAAAAGTATCCTAATAATATTTGCAAATAGCTTGTAAATGTGGACTCGAGTAATGAAAGTTCGTCTGTAGATTCCGTGATATTTAATTGAGCTGAAAGGAAACGCAAAGTCAGAAAGTGTAAATCCCATCAGACCGCGAGCGATAAGCTAAAATAAAAATATAAGGCAGTACATATGTTCATTGTACATAAATAAGTAGATATATACAATCGGTAAACAAGAGTAAGTCAGCGAGGGTTTCCATATAAATGACATTCAAAGCCCGATATTGATATCACTGAATGGGGGAACAGTGAAAATAAACAAGCTCATTGTTCAATTGCAGCTAGTGAGCATTATTTCCCCATAAACAAGCCGCATGGTTACCAATTAAAGTTCTGGTTCCTACGGAAATCGGTTAACGCTTGGCCCGTTGGCATCTCCGCCGGGCGTGAAAACCAATCTGACAAGGGCCGAATCACTCAGCGGCGGCATGCAGACTGTAGACCGCGTAATGCCCCATGACAGGTGTCTGGTCCAATCCCAGTTATTTCCACATTTGTTCCGAATTCAGGGGAGGCTCGGAAACAGTTACTGCTCCACTTACTACGTTTCAAGCTCAATGTAGATATTTGAACGTTTTAAACTAAATTTCCGCAACGCAATTCAATAAAACCCTCGCTGATAAGCCTTGGATTTTATTCGCCATAAACATAAATGCCTGGGTTCACTGTATGATAATGTTGCCTTTGTTCATATACCTATTTAAGCGCCAAAGGAGACTCTTTAAGCCCATTTCGAAATGTTCGCTTCAGGGGTTTACAAGAAACCTGGCTCAAAGCGGGCATGTTTAAAACAAAAAGCTTTAAATATATCAAACAAAATATTTTATTCAAACAAATCAAAACAAGCGGAAGGTAACTATGTAGTTCTTGATAGTTGTAAAATTTCTCGTTCCGTTAAAGTAATAACTGACAGTTAATAACTGTTAAAAATTGTATATACAATTATTTTTTAAATTGGCTTTTATGGAATAAAAATGGTATAAAATAAATGATACTATTTTTAGGAAAGCTGACGCTGATTTTTTTGATTTATTTGCTTATAATTCACTGTGGCTTTCCCTAGGAATTTACCACCAACTCATCGCCAGGCTGAGTAATTTAATTTGAGTTCAGTGACAGCAGCTGCTCCACCAGTCCAGTCCAGTTTATGTTCCGTGCTCCATGCTCCGGGCTCCAAGGCATCCCGTTCGGGACTCCTGTTCCCAGGCGTGGGCGTTGACACCTTCCCTGTTTGTTTGCTTACTACCTGGCGTGTTTGTGTTGCCTGTCTGTTTGCTCTACCTGACATAGCCATCCATCTCCGCCTTGTTGTTCCGTCCCATTTCCACTGCAGAACGGAGTTTGCTTCCCGTCTGCCAATTAACGTACTCTGATTAAGTGGGCAGGGACTTGCACAATCACAGCCACCTCAATGCCCATCATTTGTAAAATATTTCAATTTCCACGGCAGCTGCAACTGCAGGGGAATCCGCCGGAATCTGGAGCACTCGCTCCAAATTGAGCATTGACAATTTTATTTATGATCTGCTCGCTGGTTGCCGCTGCTCCGGTTCCAGTTGGCTGTCCAAAATAAACTTGATTCCGCTCGGTGGCGGTGGCTGCACCCGAATCTGAATTGGGCATTATATAATGGGCGCGATCGGCAGTCTGATTTATGCAATTTGGTCCGGGTTCTGTTGTTATTATCGCCCTGCCGCTGTCTTCGCCTCGCTGGGCTTCATTTCTTGTTTATTTAATTTAATTTTTACTGTTTAGACACCTGTCGCCGGCCATGGTTCTCATAAATCAACGACCAAGTCGCTTGCCCTCTGTCCCACAGGGAGCAAAGACCAAAACGCTTCTGATACGACCGCGTTAGGCTAAAATATATAAAATCCTGCAAGAACGGTTTACAAAAAACGCAAGGCTATAAAAATTCCAATGCAGTCAAATTAAACAGCGAAATAACAATTGCTTTAATATTTAGACGAAAATATTTATTGTTTAAGTGATGTGGATATATTTCGACAAAGTGAACGCTGGTCATGAAATGAACAATTGGTATGCAATGTTGGTTCTTGTTTTTATTACTTTTTTATGCCTTATCGATTCAACTAATTGCTTTTTCTTTTTCTATAACATTTAATTTGAAATTAGAAATGGATTCAACTGTAGAGCTTCAATTGAATATTAATTTATTCTCAATAGATTTAAATGTCTTTTTACATGTTTGAACTATGATTTACGAACAGAAATAGTACAGAAAATATCACCCTGTAAATCTATTAGTACATTTTTAGGTTCTCCCACTTTTTGCTCAAGTTCCTTTACTCTCTCACTTACTGATACGTCTAAAGTTAACTGATAAGGCGATCGTGGTTATCAACGCTCAGTGCTGAAATCGCCGCGCTCGGTGCCTGGCCTGCCTTTTCAAAGTGGCAGCGTACTACCAAGGCTAATTGGCCTGGCTTGCAAATCCGTTAGAAACGCGCCTTCCGACTTCTAAGCTTATATACATAATATATCATCACATCGTTGCCCGATAAGTGTAATTACGATTGTCATTATTATTGTGAACCGTTAGTGCTCGAATGGGTGAAATGTACACGAACGAGATGATGAGTCACATTGACCAGTACCTGCGCCGCATCATCGAGCTGCAGATACGGGACGTGGTCAAGCAGAATCGCGACAAAGGTGAGCAATAGAAGATCACCTCGGGTCGGTTGGATGGGTGGTGCTATACTTCATTTGTTTACCCCACCGTATGAGTCATGCGTTGGCCCCACTCCCCAACTTCTTAATCGCAAACAGAGCTAACAGCTTGGCTACATCTAGCTTTTTTCTCGCTTTAGTGCAATTCCCTAAAAATTATTTTAAAACTTTATAACACTTAAAACTAAATAAAAAATAGAGAAGTAATTAAAGTAAAAAATATATTTAGCCCATCATAGGCCAAAGTCTGTAAAGGTTATTTCTATTTTTTATTTTTTTTATTGTTATTGCCCGACAGCACTGCTCCCCGCCGATCGATCTTTGGTTTTGATTTTCAGTCAGGTGTGATTGCTCAGACCATTTTGCACTTCATAAAGTCTGTTGGGTTCCCCCCTGGGCCCACGCCTC